AACATATGTAAGACACAGGTAAAATATACTCCTTGAGAAACCTCCAATCCCAGCACCTTGATATAAATATCAATATTCCTGGCATACATATTTACATTTTTTCATATGAAGTTTGTATGAATGTGCTACCTTAACTTTAGATGTACAAATATGAAATGCAATATTTTGACTGTCATGATCTGCATGCCCTGGTATTATGTCTGTGACTGTGTTACTTGACACAGCAAAAAAGGAATTAAGGTTGCAGAAGGAATTAGGTTGGCTAGTCAGTTAACAAAACAGGGAAAGTATCATGGATTATTTGGGTGGAAATGGAAGTAGAAAAGGAAGTCAGAGAGATCTGACTGTGGGGAAGAGGCAGGAGAGATTCAGATCATGAGAGAGACTCAGCCTGCCATAACCCTCTTTGAAGATGTAGCATGGTGACTATGAGCCAGAAGGAGTTCAGAATATGCCATTCCAAATATGTGCTGCTCTGGCATATTGACTGTTTTGTGTTAAAGGCTCTTGAAAAACAGCAAATGTAAGAAAAACACTTTGACCTTCCTTATTTATCTTAAGAGCAGGAGATGAAATAGCTACATGAAAGATGTTCTTCCTATACCCTACAAAAAAATACATTCTAATTATTAAGGCCAGGAAGCTGAGATCAAGAGAATTCTATACAAACAGACCTTGTTAAAATAATTCTTATCTTCCTTTAGCCTGCCTGCATAGTTGATTCACTTTTACACAATTGCTTCTCTTTATTTTACCTGACATAAAAGCACATTGGTTTCAGTTTCTTTGGATCTCCCATGTCACGAAAAGCTTGTGTTAAATAAATATGTACGCCTTTCTTCTGTTGATTTGTATTATGCCAATTTAATTTTCAGGCCCAGACAAAAGGAACCCTAAAGAGGTTTAATAAAGATAACGGTTTGCCTTCCCTGAAAGTCAAGGAACATGAGTGCCCTCTAGAAGCTGAGAACAGCTCTCTGCTGATAGTCAGCAAGTAAATAACAACCACAAAGAACTGAATTCTGCCAACAACTTGAATGATAAGTAAGGAAATGGATTCTCCTTTAGAGCCTCCAAAGGAATGAAGCTTGCTACCACCCTAATTTTAGTCCTTTGAGATGCATGTCAGATTCCTGACATACAGAACTGTAAGATGATAAATGTGCATTGTATGAGCCACTAAATTTGTTAGAGGAGCAATAAAAACTAATACAGCAAGAAATGTTATATCTATTTCATTGGAACAAAGTGTATCCAATGCTGAATTCTTATCCAATGCTGAGGGTATTCAGTCTCAGACACTATTAATGCTCTTTCCTTTACCAGTGACATGCAAGTGCCCAAGGATCTTACCATGTGCCATATTAACCTACTAAAAATAAAAGGCCCAAGTGAAAGGCAACAAACATTTATTTGAGATCCAAAATAACAGCTATTCAGGAAGCACTGATTTAGGCAAATGCTTAAATAGTTTACTTATTAGGAGGGTATTTAGGAGAAAGGGAAGGGGAACAATGACATGAACAGAAGGAATTTCTATAGTTGCAGATAAACATAATGATGCTAATTCTAAAGGTGTAATTCCTTCCCTCCCTTCCTTCCTCCCTCCTTCCCTTCTTTTCTCCCTCACCCAAAGACATTTTTTTCATTGCTTTTAGAGAGAGAGGGAGGGAGAGAAACATAAATGTGTGAGAGAGATGTCGATTGGTTGCCTCCCATATGCACCCAGACCAGGTATTATATGTGTACAGACCGGGTACAAAACTGCGATCTATGTATGTGCCCTGACCAGTAATCAAACCTACAAGCTTTTGATTATAGGATGATGCTCTAACCAACTGAGCCACATTGGCCAGGGCTAATGGTCTTTAATTTTGAGCCCTGTAGTTATAACATCTACTTTCTTGTTATCTTTGCAAATGGTTGTTCGGGATATGGTGGTAGTTTAGGCCTAGTCCAGGGGTTATTTGGCTCAGTTTTTGTTTTTTGTTTTTTGTTTTAAACCTGTGGAAGTGGGGATCTTGCAGTATCTAAAGGAAAAGAATTTCCTGAGACCAACACAGGAGAATGCGGCTTTGTAGTATGGTTTATTGATGATGTACAACTAAGGGAGCTCCCCTCCTGATTTCTCAATGTCTCATCTGCATCTGTCTCGCCATGGAAAAGGTGCAATTTTTTCTTTGGTAGGGGTAGAATGAAACCACTGCCCAGAGTTTACGCTCCATATTAAAGTGTAGTACAGTTCAGCATCCAGCCAGTTTAGTGTGTATTTCCAGCAGTAGTCCATTGCTGTGTTGGAGTCCATGGAGAGAACAGGTGCATGCACTGTGTGAGTGTGGACCAAAAGAGAGAGAGTTTATTTGTTCCCATGGAGTTACAACACGGAGCTTGTGTTTGGAATGAAGCAGGTGCTTTCTCAGAACGACCAATCAACTTCCCAAGTTGGGCTTTGGATAGGTCCACCCCCTAGTTAGACTGACAGGCCTCTTTGGTCCAGCACTTGCACCCACACCCTCCAAAAATCCAGTATTGAAGGGGTGGAGGGAAGAGTATTAATTCCGTTGGCAGAGCAATGCTGTAATCCCCTGGGGTGAGAAACTGCAGTTTACTGGTTAGCAAGCAAACAGGCTTATGCTTCTGAATTTATTAAACTCGATGTCTAGTTCTCTTTGCTCCTCTTTTCTAGCTAAATACCAGTTGTAGCAGTTTTAACATTTCAAAAGTTTGAGGAGTAGGATGTGCAAGGCAGTTCCTCTGGGATGGCAGTTTCAACTCCATTTAAAAGTGGCTCTGTTTACTATTTTTTTCACAGCCAAAACATCAGGGAAGCTGTTCGGGCTTTCTGTTATCATTTGCTACTAACGAGATGCCATTGTCTCTAACATCCTCGTCCCATGTATTCTAGGGGCAGCAACAGTGTCTTCACAATGCTTGGAAACCTGGGGTCCAGGGCACCGCAGGGGTGGAATTTGGTTTTCCTTTGTCTCCTTTCCAGTTAGGAGAAATCTTCCCTCTAGCAATTTTTGCATTTACTGCAATGGCACTTATCCATCTCCTCCCCTAACCCCATCCCCAAGACACACAGGGGCTTAATATTCTAATCAGTTTTTACCACTCAAACTCCTGAGGCAAAGAATCATAGTGATTTGGTTACCTACTAGGAGTTGGGAGATAAATGAAACATAGATCAAAATCTCAATAGATTGTTTTGCAACATTCCTGCACCAATAAGTTGGTTGTGCCCCTTCAAGGATCTTTTGCCCCTCTTCTTGGTTATCTTGACATTTCACAGAGATTAGGTCATTGATAGTCTTTATTCTTATATCACAGTCAGACAAGCTGGGAACCTCACATAAAGTAGCAGCTAGCTGTGTAGGGAATACATTTCTTCAGGCTTTCAAGGTCAGGGTTCATAAACTTAGATAATGAGTGAATTTCTTGCTTTCCACAAGGAAAAAAATTCTCTTTTTTCCCCCTCTCAACCTTAGCTGTATCCCTCCTGCATGGTTTTCTTTGATTCTGGTCACCTCTGGGAAAAAGGGTTATACAGAAACAAGGATGGAACAGGGGACCACTTATGTGCCTATGGTAAAATCCTAGGCAAGAGATGATGGGGCTTAAACTGGGGCAGAAGTAGTAGACATGGTAAATGGTTGGATTTTAAATACTTTAAAGGGTAGAGCCAGTGATCTGATATGGAGTATTAAAGTCAAATATAAGAGGGCTTAGCTGGGAGTTCAGAAGGACCATAAATGAAGAGAACATTTCACATCTTGAAAAGAGAAATGAGTTTAAAAGTTGTCATATGGGAATTAAATTCTGGTGGTTAAAGAGCTGGCTCTTCAACCTAAATCTGCAGCCAGTATTTCTTTTCTGATTCATCTCCCTTTCTATAGTGTCTGGGTTTTGATTATTTCCCAATTCCAGCTGGCATAAGTGCCAGTTCTTTCTCCCATCCTACATCCATCACCTGTGAATGTTTCCTCCTTTTCTTATCCCCCTTTTTTTTTTTTTACCATAGTCCAAAAGAAATGATGTGTGCTGTTTGCAGGGGAAAAAGAATGTGAGAAAGTTGAAAAAAGTAGCCCTGTATTCTATGTACAAGTTTGATTTTAAGATAACTGAGAATTTAAGAGTGAAAAGAAACTTTGTATTTAGAAATACTGCTTCTTTACTGTTAATGGCAAATCTATTTTATTGGTATCAGTAACAAAGTATAAATACATGAAAAGAAGCAATTTTGGGAAGGTAGAATTTCATTTTAAGGTGCACTTCATTTTGGCTTAAAAAAAAATGTGGGCTATACTGTGTTATCCAGGAGCTGTAAATACTTGGGCAAGGTATGTTCTCTTTCTGTGTTTCCCCCCGACCCAATGCATAAAATCGCAGCCCTCCTATTGCCTCCTGATTTTAGGGGCCTGTGATGATTTAAAACTTCATTTAACCAATATTTGGTGTGTACTGTATTAACAAGTATGCTTGATGCTGGGAGAAATACCAAGAAGTACAAGATGCGGGACACAGGTCGCTGCCCTTCTAGAGCAAGAAATTCGCAGGAAACAATTCAATTTTCAGTTGGTACAACCTCGCCTGTGCTGGCCTTTTGCTATCTGCTATGCCCACTTACCCACCTAATTCTTAAAGTGCCCTGCGAAGGCGGGAGTTGCAGAATTCCGTCTTATTTTCACTTTTAAAGAAGTGAAATTAACGGAAGTTCCTCGCTACCTGCGGCATTTTCAGACGTTAAGTGTTTCCTTGTCCCAGCGACGCTAACCTTACCTCAGGGGCTCCCCAGGTCAACCCACACTTCCTAATCTCGTTCTAGGTAAAAGACCCCCAATGGGATCGCTCCTTCTTCGCTGGGGGGCGGGGCCACGGAGACCGCCCCTGTACGTGGCGTGCGTGCGTGGCGCCTCGCGGCGCCAAACGGTTTCTCTAGCGTGTGGCGCCCTCCGGCGGCAACGGGGCGTCAGTGTGACAGCCGGTTCTGAGCTCCTGCCATGGAGCCGGAGAAAGAGGCGCGAACACCCAGGGACCGAGTCGAGCGGCCGCCGGACTCTAGGCCTCAGACGTCTGAAGAGGAGGAGGCGGGGGAGAGCACCGCAGCGCCGGCGGGGGCTGCTCTGGGCGAGGAGGTGGACGGCGCCAGTGCGGACGGGCTCTGGGAACTGCCAGTGGAGCCGACTGATCGGAGGCCCGAGTGCAGCGGCTGCAGGTGACCGACGGGCGGGGCCTCAGGCCGGGGGCGGCGAGGCTGCGGCGCCCCCTTCTGGGAAGGTGGCGGCTGCTGCGGCTACAGCCCGGAAGAGAGCTGGCTTTGGCATCTTATCGCTTAGGGTGGCGGGCCCGCTGATTGACCTTGCTATCACTGTGAAGTACTTGTCACAGTTCTTTAATAAGAAGCCATTTATCTAGGCTCGTTATTATTTAGCCTCACTTCCCGCAAGATTCAGAGCGTGCTTCAGTGACAGTCGTCTCACAAATAAAAAAAAAAAAATTAGAGGTTACAGTCAAAATGGCTATTACAGTAGTTAAGATTGTATTCAGAATTCTGAACTCACTCAGAAATATTTATCGAACACCTACTGTGTGCTAGGCACTGTGCTAGGTCCTGGGAATGCAGGCATGAATAAAACAGACATGGTCTCTGTCTTCCATGGGGCATTTACAGTCTAATGAAGAGACAATAATTAAACCACCAGCAACTAACATGATTGAATGCTCACAGTGTGCCCGATAGTTTCAATACTTTTCAGAATTATTCCATTGTGCTGGTGCACTAAAGGATTGTAAGGCTTACTTTCCTTACTTGTTTGAATTTTTGCTATTCTCATGTACTATTCTCTACTTTCTGGATGTTCAGGGTCACTTTCCTTGGTTCCTTAAGGTCTCTATCTATCACCTATCTCACTGCTGCTCTTCACAGTTTTAACTATTAGATCGTGACTGTACTTCCTCTCCTCGAAATCACTCTGCGATTTGTCATCAGATCCTACACTGTCCTGAAATGGCTTTCACTAAAGTCACCAGTAATCTCCCTGAGATGAAATCCAGTGGATCCTTTTCTGTTTACTTTTTACTAGACTTCTTGGCAGCATTCAGTAGTTGAATACTCCCTTCTTGAAACACTCTTTGGCTTCCCTTCTGTTTATCTGACTTCTCTGCCCTAGTCGTCTTTGCTTATTCTACTCAAACTCTAAATGTTAGGTTTCTTAAGGTCTGAATTCTAGATTGTCTTCTAACCCCACACACTTCCCACAGGCGATCTTACCAGTTTTCATGGGTAACTTTCTACCTCTACCCCAATATCTCCAACCCAGTGATTTTCAACTTTTAAAAAAATCTTATGACATATATAAACTAATTACTAAAATTCTGCAGCACACCAAAAAAATATGTTTTTTTGCTGATCAGGACAAAAAAATAGGTATAATTTTGATTCGTTTACACAGGATGGCTATTGTGTTGGCTGTTGTCATTTTTTTCTTTTTATTTGACATTCTAAGGGATGGCACACTGATTGAAAATTGCTGCTCTAGCTCATACTTTTCTCCTTAGTACCAGACTTACGGACTCCTTTAACCAGTGCTTATTGATTGCTTTCCTTATCACTGTTAATACAGTGGAGTATGTGTTCATAGGAAGTGTTTAGTCTGTTATTGGATACAGATAATAAACCAATAAGCAAGAAACCAAATATGTAATTACAGTTTTGAAAAAAACAGCGATGATGGAAAGCAGTGGGTTGCTGGGGTAGAAAAATGCAAGAGGATATCAGGAAAGATTTCTGAGGAGATAGGACTTATATTGAAATTTGAAAGATGAGAAGGATCCAGCCAGGAGAAAAGCATTCCGAGAAGGGGTGTAAGACAGATTGTTCGAAGGTCTGTACCACTTGAATGCTTGGCGTATCCTGCTCTGGACATTTTGACTTTTTCCCATGACTGGATTGTGAGCACTTAGAAGAAGGGATCTTGAGTGTGAGGAACTTTTTGTATTTTCAAAGTGTACTATGTATTAGGTTGACAAGAAACTTTTTTTTTTTTTTCTGTGAGATGGCTCTAATGGCACTTAGTTGTCTTTAACTTCATTTGAAACAATTTTGTTAAGAGTGTACTAAGACAAACAATTTTGTTAGAGTGTATTACGACAGCTGTCATATTCGCATGCTGCATTTACAAAAAAAAAAAAAAAACCTTACCAAAATAGGTGAATTTTTGCTTAGCCATTTTAATATTGAAGATGGAAGAAAATATTCAACATTTTTGACATATTATGCTTTATTATTTCAAGAATGGTAAAAAGACAACTGAAATGCAAAAAAAGATTTGAGCAATATGTGGAGGAGGTGCTGTGACTAATCAAACATATCAAAAGTGGTTTGCAAAGTTTTGTGTTGGAGATTTCTCACTGGTCGATGCTTCACAGTCAGTAGACCAGTTGAAGTTGATAGTGATCAAACTGAGTCATTCACTGAGAACAATTAATGTTGTACTATATTGTAGTAGACCGCTGACATATTCAAGATATCCAAATTAATAGTTATTGGTGAAAATGAAAATGTGTCTTTTATTTTACAGAAAAAAACTAAATGGACTTTTTGGCCAACCCAATATAGTAAGTAGAAAGTCAATAGACTTTTGAGGAGAATGAATAATTTGTTTCTAGAAGGGACTGCATATATGAACAAAAGTGGTGTTGAATACAATTTATTTAAACAAGTTGTGTAAATGTGTCAAGGGTTAAATTTTCATGCTAGCTTTGTCATGTAGTTTTTAGTCCATGTAAAACTACTAATTATAAGTGCTTATATACTTAAAAAAATTAGTCTCCTATGTATATCAAAGGTTTGTAATTTTTCTGACCAGCTTCCCCTCTTTAATAAACTTTATTTTTTAGAGTAGTTTTTCATTTACAGCAAAATTAAAGTACAAGGTACAGAGATTTCCCATATACCCATTGCTCCCACTCATGCATAGTTTACTTCATTGTCAATATTCCCCACAAGAGTGACACTTTTATTACAGTTGATGAACTACATTGACATATCATTAGTACTCAAAGCCCATAGTTTACATTAGTGTTAACTCTTGGTGTTTTACATATTTTAAGTTTGGATAAATTTTTAATCATATATATCTACCATTATAGTCTAATATCATACAGAGTATTTTCATGCCCTAAAAATCCTCTTTGCTCTTCATATTCATCCCTCCAAACCACCTAACCTGATCTGCTTTTTAAAAAATAAAAATAACTTGCTGGAGTTAAGCTTGTTTTCAGTTACATTTAGTTAATATATTAGGGTCATGATGGGTGCTAATATTTCTGCATTTTGCTTTTTCTAGTGAAATTTTCTACCTAATAAAAGCTCTTCTCTAAATTGGCTTGTTAAGCATTTTGTTTGTTTTAATTGGTTAGAATATAGTTCTAGAAATATGGAGATTATTTGGTGTTATCCATAAAGTATAAACTAATTGATGGCTCTTTATATTTTATTTCATTAGACTGTTAGGGTTTTATTAGTCTCATGGGTGAACTTCTTAACATTTATGCTTATAATAGTTTTAAATCTAAAAGGCATTCTGCCCTGGCCAGTGTGGTTCTGTTGGTTGAAGTGTTGTCTGGTAACTGAAAGGTTGTGGGTTCGATTCCCGATCAGAGCACATACCTTGGTTGTGGTTCCAGGTTTGGTCCCAGTCCAGGCATGGCCAGGAGGCAACCAATCAATGCTTACGTTTTGCATGGATGTGTTTCTCTCTTCCTCCCTCTCTAAAAAAAGGTGAAAAAATATCCTCAAGTTAGGATTAAAAAAAAAAAAATCTCAAAAGCATTCTTAGCTTTGAGTAATCACTAAATTGTGGTTTTTTAGCTGTTTTAAAACAGTATTCATTTCTCTAAACATATTACTATAATTGTTACAGCCTAGAGAGTTTAAAAGATTACTTTTTTTCAGGAAGTTCAAAGTCATTTTAACTTCTCAGCAAAATCATTCTCTTTAGAAATACAACATATCTTAACCTTGAATGGAGTAATCTTTAAAAGATCCCAAATTAATTTGTTATTATAAGATGCAGCTTTTATAAAAAGTGTGTTCCTGTTAGAGGGAACAATATGTACAGTGGTACAGTGTTTAGAGTATAATGTATTTGGAGGGGTTGGCAGAAATGAGGTAAGAGACGAGGCTGCAGAGATTAGGAGTAGTTGTACTGGGAAAGGACACATAAGCTTTGGGAGATGGTTTGAACCTAATGCACTAGAACCCAAAAAAACAGTTACTGAAATATTTTTATGTTTGATGGGAGTGACAAGTTTGACCTCAATAAATGGTTTTTAGCTATTGTAATTTATATTAAAAAATGCAAACTGGAAGGTGATACAGTGGTGAAAGGTTTGACTAGGAAGAGTTAGGACTTCGTTCCAGTAAAGATGCTAGACATCTTAATTATACTTTTATATCTTCTCTGGATATTGCTATGGGCCTGAAGACAAGATGTAGAAGCCACTTGAAAATCATTTGTCATACAAATAATGGAATAATATCTAAATAGAGAATTTTTTTTATCTGTCTGAAAGAGGGAGAGTACATACACAAACTGACATAGATAGACCTTGAGACAGAAATTTCTAGTGTTTTCTTCCTCAAAAGTACGAAGTTGTAAGGATTCTAATAAACTGCAGCAATGTATTTAGTACCCATTTATTAAGCACCGACCATCTGCAGCTTACGTATGAGGCCTAGGTATTTTATTTATGATATTTCTTATAACAACATTTTAGAGTTGATGTTATTAAATAAAGAGGGACTGGAGGTAGTAAATGAGCAGCAGAATTGGGTTCCCAGCTCATGCAAGTACTTGGACCTTGTTCCACAATTCACCCTTGCTGAGGAAGACATGATTTTCTTTGCAGTGTACTTGTAGTTACCAGTTAAGTGGAGCCACTGAGCCTGCAGGAATATCTCTAATTTTTGCACCTTTTAAGGTGAAATACGTTTACTTCAAGCTTAGGCAAGTTGCCTGAACTTAACTATTCTCTAGCTCTTCTTTTTAAAAAATTGAAATATAATTGAAGTATGACATATTTACGTTTAAGGTTTATAATCTGTTGATTTGATACATTTATATATTGCAGTATGATTATCACTGAGAATGTTAGTATCTTCACATAATTATCAATTCTTTTTTTGAGGTGAGATTTAAGATACACTCTCTC